AGATTAACTCCTGCTTGAGCAGAATTGTTATAGAAGATTTGGAATAAATCAGAAGTTATTCATGCTGCTTGATTTAGCGAGTAGCTCATAATATTTAGAAATAGAAAACCAGATTGATTTTAGATATGCTAAGCTCTGAAATGAGAATCAAATAGTGATTATCTCACAGCATTCTGGTCAGGACATATCAAAATAAAAAATAAGCACACAGGTGTTAACTGTTGTCCTTATGATTCTTTATTTATTCTTAGAACATAATTATTCTGTATCTCTTAGGTGCCAGTCACTGCTTTAGTAGGCACTAGGGATACAATGTAAATAATAGTGAAGGGAAACAGGTGACACACAGATAAACTAGAGAAACAGCTTCCAAAAAGATGGTAAAAAGAAGGCAGGAAAGGGTAATATGGTCAGAGACATTCTCTCTGAAGAAGTGATTTCAAGCCGAGAACATTTTTTTCTAGAGACCTAATTCTCTCAATATCCAAGTTACAAGTAAAATTTTCTTAGCAAAAATGCAGTTATTTTCTGGGGACCTGTGATAGAAATTGATTTTATCGTAGGTTCCCTTTATCCTAGAGGCACTAATATGAAGGATTACAGAATTTACAAGTTTCTTTCCCCATAGATGGCTCTCTGTCTCATTCCCTATTGAGTTAACGCATCAAATATCATACGGAATTTACCAAGGAAATTGTTAGAGTCTGTGCATTTTTATTGCATGTTATTTTTTACTTTTTCATTATGTACCTTGCTAAAATTCTTAATGGAATAATTCTCCCGTTAGTTGAGGTCATGCCTCTCCTTGTAGATCTAACAAGGAGAGAATTATGACACCCAGCAGGGCTCTGGATAAATATTTAAAAGACCACTTTAAACTTTAATTTAATCACGCACATTGCAGTAGTCCTGAGAAACATTCTCAGTAGCATTCATTGAGCGTTGACCGGATACTGTGCACACAGAGTGGCATCTGGCCCGGCCAATGGAAACGCCTGTCAGTTTGTTCAGGGTTTAGCATCCAGGCCTCTGCGATGGTGGTCTGGGTGGTGTATTGTGAGGTACAGTTCGAAAAAGTCTCTTTATATCCTTTTTTTCCTCGTAGATCCTCTTATTTACTGTGATAAGAAGACTTCTTTTTAAAAATTATTTATTTATCTTTTTAGAGGGGAAGGAGAGAGGGAGAGAAACATCAATGTATGGTTGCCTCTAGTGGGTCCCCTGCTGGGAACTGGCCTGCAGGGAACCGGCCTGCAACCCCAGCATGTGCCCTGACTGGGAATTGAACCGCGATCCTCTGGTTTGCAGGCCTGCACTCAATCCACTGAGCTACACTAGCCAGGGCCAAGAATGCTTCTTAATTAGGGACTTGTTTACAATTTTTAAATATCAGTCCCTTGGATTTATTTAAAAATGGCTTTATTTTTAAAGCTGTTTCCAAAAGCTACCTTTGAATTGGGTGGTTCTTATTTCTATTGATCCTTCAAGGTATCTTATGAAGGTATGAGAGCATCAGTGTGTAACACATACTGTCTTATTTTTCTGCAAATTTAATAAAATTGTATTTGAAGTATAAATATTTATTCTAGCATCACCACACATTGAGATCCAGATTCAGTCAGTATTTTTGTGCAACGTAATCACACTGCAGTGCAAATTTCTGGGTTTTATGTAAGACTCTTTTCTTAACCGAGGTCTGCTTGAGGTGCGGACTGCAGAGGAGCCGTCTGTTTGCTCAGTGAGCATTTCCTCAGCACCAGCTACGTGCCAGACTAGGGACCAGTGACACAATAATGAAATACAAACAGCTCGCAGTTCGTGATCTAGTAAGATAGATAACATTAAATAAGTAATCATTTAATTTGTAGTTGGGTAAATGTTATATAAAACAGGAACCTAACGTACTCCTGGAAGGTAGCCTGAGAAAGTGAAGTATAAGCTGTGGCCGAAAAATCAATAGAAGTTAATCCAGGCCTAGAAACAGGAAGCGCGGCCCAGCTTGCAAACACCCTCCGTTGTAGAAGGTCCTGGCAGGTTCGAAGGACAAGAGAAAGACCAGTTTGGATGCAGACAATTTTATATGGAGGAAAATCAAGTGAGATATATCTGAAGAGCTATACAGGAGTCAGACCAGGTGGGCCAGACTGAAGATTTTGGACTTAGTTAAAACAACGAGAAGTTATGGCAAGGTGCTCAAAGGGAAATTATGTGGTTGGATTTGTGTTTGGAAAATGTTATTCTGGTTGCAGGAAGGGGAATGTGATGAAGATAAATTGTCAAGTTAGAGTAATATTTAAGAGATTTTGAATTGATTAGAAATTAATGCAGAGTGAAATGAGAGAGAAGAGATGTAAATGATTACTTCCTGGTTTCTGGAATGGATTGTGATGTGGTTTATTGGGACAAGCAGCTCTAGAGGAAAAGAAGGTTGGGGGCAAGGTGATGACTTCAGTTTGAACAGGTTGAGTTTGAAAACCCTTGAAGAGATCCTAGTGGACATGTATTGGAGTTGAATGTATGGGGTCGGAAGTGTTGGTTCTGGAACATAAGGAACGTCTAGGCTGCAGCCTGCGTGCCTCTGTAGCATACAGTTGGTAAATGGAGCGTTGACATAGACAGCCCCACAACAAAATGTGGGCTCCTGATGTTTTAAGGGTAAGTAGAGGAGGAGAAGCTGGCAAAGGGAAATTATCAGTGTGTGATGTCACCAAAGCTGGTGGACAGTAACCATTCAAAAAGGAGGTAGTGATTAAGAGTTCCAAGACCGCGAGTGTGATGCATACTCAGCAGTGCGTGTTGGGCTTAATGCATAAGGTCATTAATGACCTTAGAAGATAGATTGATGTGGTTTGAGAGGTGAGATGTGAGGAAATAGAGATAAATAACTTCTTTGAGAAGTTTGGCTATGAAAGGGAAAAGAGTGAACAGGAGTAAAGGGAAATGTAGCTTCCAGGTCAAGTTTTAAGCTTTTGTCCTGTGTTTTGTTTTGTCTTTGTTTCTTTTTATAATGGGGGAAACCGAAGTATTTTTAAATGTTGGTAGAAAGGATTCAAAAGTCCAGGAGTAATTAGAATATTTGATTGCCTAAAGATCCTGGAGAATGAGGTGGCTAAGACCCAAACATAAATGGTAAGGGGTTCACTTTGAGAGGGGAGAATTCTCCCCGCATTGCGATGGGCAGGAAGGAGGGAAATGGTGGTGCACGGGTGAGCCAGCTCTTGTGTTCCTAATGCAGTAGCAGGCAAGCTCAGCTACTTCGAGCCAAGCAGTGGGAGTTGGTGGAAGGTCTGGGAGAGTGTAGAGGAGCTCAGGTGATATTGAAGACAGTAAGTAGTTTTGGTAACAGTCTGCACTGTTGTTTAGTTTTTTCCTAGAAGAACTTAGCTACACAAAACCCAGAGCAGGAACATAGTAAATTTTCCCATAGTTGCATTTTGTTTTTGCCACAGCCACTTTTGATAGAAGGTCAGAGAGGAAAAGGAATTTATTTGCAACAGAGAGTCAAATACTGGTTGATAGACTCTAAGACTGCTTGACAGGCTGTAAGTCAAGGGAAGTGGGGACTGATGGTTGATGGTGAGAAAAGAAGGAAAATCAGTGGCCTGGGAAATCCAATGATGTTGAAAAATCATTAGGAGTTTCATGGGATCCCTGAGCAAGCAATTTGGAAGGATGGGCTTTTGTAGTCAACCGGCTGTTTGCTTAGTGATTTTAGAAGTAGTGTCATGGTGGTGATGACAAGACCAGAGGGTCTTCTTTGTGTGTGTGCCTACATGGATTCAGGGCAGAAACCACTGGAAATAAGTTTGTTAATGATCCTGAGGGCAGCATACTGGATGGTATGACTGTGGGCATCAAGGGTGCCTTGGGTGACTGCTGGAGCTGGGACAGAGTGGAACACAGTGAGTGGGGGCGGCAGTCTTTTCTGAGTCACGTGGTGACAGAGGAAGATGGGTGCCAGCAATGAGAGGCCAGTGATGAGGGAGCCCTCAGCGTCAGCCTCAGAAGAACAGGAATATTAAAGAATGTGAAAGAAACGTAGTCTATAAGAGGTACTGGGAAGAAAAGAGGGCACTGACTTCCTTGGCAATTCTGAGACACAGGGAGTGTGAGAAAATGAACATTTTCCCCTAAAGAAAGCTGCAGACTGCACTCTTTTTAACTAACAGCCAGATAAAGTTAGCGCTAGATAATGGAGAAAATATTGAAATGAGGACAAGGAAATAGGGAGCTTGCACAGAAAATGAAAGTATGAGAGCTGGGGAGAGAGAAGGGAAGTGGGGTTGTCAGGATAAGGCCCAGATGGCATGGCAGTATGGGACAGAGCATTCCAGGAGTTCACGTCTGTGTTGGGGAGAGGGGACCGAGAGGGGGAGCCAGCTGAGGAGAATCATACGCCAGAGCAAAGGGGATTAAACTGAAATTCTTTAGGCTTGGACTGCTTCCCGTGCTTCACAAAATGCATCTCTGGCCTGAAGTGGTTATGTATTGTATAGTATAGAGTGGTGTGGTGTGGTGTGGTGTGGGCCAGCCGATTGCGGAAGCTCGGCCAGGGCCTTGCTTGCTGTCTTTGGCTCGCCCCTTTACTAGCCAGTTCCTGCTCGGCACAGGGGCAGCCTGGGGCAGAGTGGGAGTGTGCAGGGGACCAGCACACCGGACCTCACCCCTCACATTCTCACCTCACAGCTATCTTGCTTTTGCCAGTATTATTCTCTGAAAGACATTAAGTGAATCTTCTCATATGTTTTATTTAAAATTTCTGTAGTGGTGGATTAATTCGCTCTGTCCCTTAATTAGGTGCTGTTAGTGTTATCTATTATAGCGGTTGATGATATTTTCTGCTAACTCATATTACAAAACATCGCAAGTACCCAGTAAGTGTTTTTGGTAATAATTTGTTTTTAATTTGTAAAATCTTGATGAGTATCATTTACATATTTTAGTGTTTCCAGTTCTTTACTAAGGGTGTTTTTAAGGTTATGTTCTTTTACTTCCTGAAGGAGCAAATGATGTGAAAACCATGCCAGGTCAAGCTGTTTGTCCTACTCCAGGGTGCCGAGGAATAGGCCATATCCGTGGTCCAAGGTATTCAGGACATCACAGGTAAAATTTTTTCATCTTCAAATTATTTCAGGAATAAATTAAAACGCTGTGCAAATTAGCAGATACAGGCAGCATCATAAATGACTTGCTTGGAGCCAGACATCTCCGTATCATACTGCCCTCTCTGCTCCTGAAGTCCTTCCTTGACATTCCTCCTGTCTGCCCACCTCCGCCTTCCTGGAGCCTTTTTGGACTTTGAGGCCTTGCCCAGACCCACGTCACTTCCCAGCACCCCTGCTCTCTAACCACTTCTTATGCGCACTCTCCTCAGGGCGTTCTTGCCACTCTAGGTCCCATCCCAGTCCAGAATTTTCGCCACACAGGTGCTGAGTCTTACCTTCTTTAGAGAAATTCCAGGACCTCTTGCCTTTTCCCCTCGTTTTCTTTTCACCTTGTCCCTGTTTCTTTTTCTCTATTTCTTATTCATTTGGAGATGAGATAGATCTTGGTTAGAATAGAAAATAATACATGTGAAGTTATATTATAAAATATACCTGTTTTTTAAATATTTGATATCAGTATGGGAAGGATAATGTTTATAATGAAAAATAAGTACAAATAAATGTATATAAGCTTTTTCTGTCCCAGTCAGTTGGTAAAACAATAATGGGTAGGCGAATTATTTATATTGATGATCTAGTTGCAGAATATTTCAATTAAAACTGGACAGAATTGTCATGAAACTTGTCCAATAAACAATTTTAAAAAAAAATCATAGGAGAGTATAAAGAAAAAAAGAATAAATCATGTAACACATGAAGCAAGAAAACATTTGTTTCAGTAAAAGATCCAAATAGAAGTTCTAGTTTTTTCAGGTGGTTGCAGTTCTGGAAACCTATGCTTGAAACACTTCTAAATAAATCAAAACATGTATTATTGTAAGAAATAATGGTAAGCATTCCAAAATAGCATACATGAATGTTACATATGTAAGTATAATACTGATAGTAACACTTAAAGGAAAAGAATATAATATAGTATCCATAAAAAGAAAGAAACTGAAGACATACAGACAGCTTGGTTCCTTGCGAAACACGTAGGAATTGTGGGTGAGAGTGGGACTGGACCCGGTGGGAACGTTGTAGTCTTTTATGAGGGGAGGAGGAAAAGAGAGTGGAGGACGCACAGAGGATGAGAAAGAGGGAAAGAGGGAGCACTGTCATCTTTGGGAGGGTGGTCTGTGTTAGGATGACCTTGTCAGACTTAATGGATCCACTTTCCAGACCACTGGGGCATGTGGCGGCAAATAATACTCCTCAGACTTTGTGTGCATTTGTGTGTTTGTGTGCGCGCGCTTTATTTTGTTTTTAAATCTAGAACTGCAAAGCCCAATATGGTAGTCACTAGTCACATGTGCCCATTTAAATTAAATAGTAACTGAAATTAAATAAAATTAAAACTTTAGTTTCTCACATAGCTACATTTCAGGTGTTCAGTAATCACCTGTGGCCAGTGGCTGGCATACTGGGCAGCAGAAAAAGTTCCTTAATGAGAGCCCTAAAAGGTAGTTTTTCATGTTCTGCCTTCTCATGGTACATTTCTGAGTGCACATTTTCCCAGACGAAACAACTGGCCATCTGACTGCCTCTTCAAAACTGGAATCATTATACTCAGAGTTAGCCAGACCATAATCTTGCGCTTGTCCTGTCCATTAGCACACCCTGGAGTTTACTCTCCCATAGCACCGGGCTGAAGTAACAAGCACCACCCACTGGACAGCTCCTTAAGATCGCTGCGGTAGCTCACTCCCTGAGGCCTCTTCTTCTACTTCATCAGAGCTGACTTACCCTCCACACTGCTCTGGTGGGTAGTTCATTCTCTTTTCCCTACTTGAATTCTGAAAATATTGTGAACAGTCACAATAGGCATGTTCCACTTTGTTCCAGCAGCTTCCCTGAGCTTTCCTTACCCAGTATGAAGTTTTAACTATTTGTACTTGTAGTATCTAGTTATGAATAACATTGAGAATGTCTGACATGATTTTTTGTCCAAGTGGCCTTCAATGGGTGACCTCAGAACTTCTGAAGAAACTAGAATTTAAAGATAAAGAATAGTTTAAAGAAGGCATTCTGTGACACTTAGAAAAAAGAGAAATACTAAACACATGTGATAGATGAGTGGGACATTCTAAGGGAACTAGAAGGCACAAGGCATTATATTTCCAGACCTTACAATTCACAGGGCTGCTCTAGGTGAGACCTCTGTGACTGGGTCATGGCTCTTCTCCTGTCCTAACTTTGGTTATGACAGAGCAGGGCCCCTGCAAGTGAGAGAAACATCTTCAAAAGCTGAACAATCCATTATCTCAGAAAAGCAAAACAGAAAGTTATGAGTGCCTGCAGTTTGCATTTGTCTAGAATGAGAAAGACTAAAATTAAACAAATGGATATTTCTTAAGTTTGCATTTTCATATAGAACTCTTAAGGTATTTAAATGGTCAGATAAATAAATTCTAACTTACCTAGGTAGAGAAGAGCAGAGAGATAACTTTTATTTAACTCTATTTTGCATTAAAGAAATGGGGACAAACGTCTTGGGGGGGGGTTGATGTTGATTATATGGAAATTACTGGAAGTGGAAGTCAGGTGGTCTAAGGTTACCTGTATGTGGTAGGTGCTGGGCATCTCTCTCTCTCTCTCTTGCTTTCATTTTCAGTGACAGGTCTCTTTATCAAGTCTAGCTCTGTGGTGCTAGTGTTACTCATTCACTGATTATACCCATTTTCAGTTAATACACTGATTTTTTTAAGCAGTAGTTCTGTTCTTACTTTAGGTCATGAGATGCTGAACATCATTTTCAAGTTAGTCCATTAACTTAGGTCACTATGTGTATAACTTAAGAATTTATTTAAATCCTTTTATAACTAAATGGGAAAAATTTATTTTGATATCATAAACTCTGGTGTTTGCTTTTATGTTATTTCTATTTTGTAGTCTAAATTTTCATATCTCTAAAAGGTGAAAGATATTGTTCTTCATTATGTGTCTTTGGTGGTATCTGTTGAGAATATTAGGCAAACACACACACGCACACAACACGCACACCTACCTAACTGCACCTGCTGGAAACTTGCCATAACACACCCAAAGTTATCATGTATTTTGCTTCTTATGCGTCAATGAGAATTTTAAAATGTTACTGTATTCTTCCGGAATCCTACATCATCTCTACCTTGAGTTTCTCAAAGCATTTAAATTAGTAAAACTTGCATATTCCAAAATGAAAGTCTATTTTTTTCTCTTGTCCTACATTTGTATCTTTACCAAAGAGTGATCTTCTGCAAGATGCTCTTTACAGTTTCTGCCCAGAAAATTCTTAGGCAGATATTCTTACTCTCAAAATGAGACAAAAACAATAAAACCAGGAAACTCCCAGGGTTTTTTTAGGTTCTTTTAAAAAATTATTGTTTAAGTACAGTTGTCTCCATTTTTCTACCACCACTTCCCCTACCTGACCCACCCGTATCTCCCACTCTCAATCCTACCCCCCTTGGCTTTGCCCAAGGGTCCTTTATACATGTTCCTTGATGGCACTTCCCCTTTCCCTTTTCTCTTCCCTTCCCTTCCCTTCTGGTTACTGTCAATTTGTTCCTTATTTCAGTGTCTCTGGTTATTTTGCTTGCTTGTTTTGTTGATTAGGTTCCACTTAGAGATGAGATCATATGGTATTTGTCTTTCACCAATTCTAAAGAACCTATTCACCCCAGTGTTCATAGCAGCACAATTTACAATAGCCAAGTGCTGGAAGCAACCTAAGTGCCCATCAGTAAATGAGTGGATCAAAAACCTATGGTACATTTACACAATGGAATACTGTTGGGGACCACTCTGTGTGGTTTTGGAGACTGTAGCCCTGTGAGGGTGAGTCCTGAAAGGGGCTAGTAAGTCTTCCTGGAAAACTAGGTAAAAACGCAGGTGGCAGGCATGACCTGACCCTTAACACTGAGGGTTCCTGTGGGAATTAGGCCTGATAAATACATTGTATCCTTTGAAGCTTGCTTTGCATGGTATAGCCCTGTCAATGTAAACTGGAAGTTTAAGTTCAAGGTATAAAGAATAAGCCCCTTATCTCATGAAATATGTCTTAAAGATGCTCTGGCATCAGTATGGCTAACAGACCCTGATCTGTGACAGATCTCTGTTTCTTCAGTTGTTATCTATAGATAATACCTGTTTTTGTATGACTAGAGCCTTTTTGACATTGGTTGATTGGTGAACTCTACATGTATGCTGTGTACACCTACCCATACCATTCCCAATAAAAGCCATTTGGGAGAAGGGCTTGGGGCATTCTCCACTAGAGGGAATTGCCAACCCCTTTCCTGCCAGAACAGCACCATTGTGTCCAGGATGACTTATTTACCATCCGCAACAGCCAGGAGAATTCTGCAGGCTGGAGTGGCTCACACAGAATACTACACAACAGAAAGAAGGAGCTCCCACCCTTTGTGACAGCATGGATGGAACTGGAGAGCATTATGCTAAGCGAAGTAATGGTTTGTTTTAAATTTTTGACTTTCCTTTTAATGGAGGCCTGTGAAACTCCTTTGGGCCCTTGACGTCATAGACCTACTCCTGTCATACTTAGAAGCAGCCTTCCCTTTTCAAGGATGACATTTCCTCCTCCTGCTTCTTGGATGGATTTTGAGAAAACACTCCCTGGTCATATCACAGTGTGACCTTGGAATCCAGATCCTCCATCTCACCTCTGACCTATCTCAGCCCTGTTCTGTGGCAGGCTCAGACTCCTGCTTCCTTACCTTTCATCTCTAAGGCCCTTTTCAGCTGCAGTTGGACATATCTAATGGTTTATTAATCCACACCTCCCTAAGCAGATGACCCTTCTGGGGCCTTCCGTCATCATCCCACAGTCCCCTGGTCCCCTAGTATGAATTAGTTTCTCTGTAGCTTTGCTAAACAGCTGTCTTCTTGGGACTTATCTGCCTCCTGAAATTCCCTTTACTTCCCTTCTGTTAGATCCTTTTTTTCTTGGATTCTGAG